AAAAAAAAAAAAAAAAATTCTTTATATTTTCAAAGTAATGTTTCTTTCAGAAAATTTGGAAATACTAAAAAGTACCCTTGAATATTAAATCTCAGAGTAATTTAAGGTGCTGTAAAATTTATATAGAACCATTGAAATGGAGTCAGAGCAAATCTTTGGTTAAAAAAAAATCTATATTCAGTTCAACAGGCCATAACATTGGGCAGGAGAAAGGACATGTGGTATTGAATACTAGCACTACTTAGTCATATAATTTCTTTAAGTGTAGCATTATTTTTATATTAGAACAGGAAAAAAGTTTATAGCAATTATAGCCAGTACCCACATTTTTGTTACAGCTCTTCCTGATCATCCTAGATGACATATTACCATTCTTGTTATCTTCTTTTTATTTTATTTATTTCCCAGATAGGAACACTAGCTACACAGCAGGTAAGAAATGGCATTGATTACTTCTGTCATAACACATAAATGTGGATACTTTTGAAACTGCTTTGTTAAAAGTCTCCCTGTGTACATAATGGCTTTTACTGTTCTTTGAGGAGAAGTGGGTTTGTAACTGCCACAGGTCATTGCTGTGCTAGCAACAATTTTCTTATTGGTTGTCTTAGTTTTCCTGAGAAGCTGCTCTTGTAGATCTGAATAAACAGAAGTAATCAATGAGAATTAAGGGAGAAATGTTATATCAGATATCTTTTCTAAATAGTTATTTATTGCCTGTTGCATTTTAATTAGGAATCCAATTTTTAGCTCTTCTGAATCCTCATTTTTAATTTCTATTTATCAGTTTAAGAAGAGTAAGGAGTGTGTGACTCTCTTCAAACCTCATCACAATCAGTATGCATATATTTGGTAATTTAAAAAACCCTGTGCCAGATGCAAAATAATAGGGTTTTTAAATAATATGGGACAGCTAGCCTGTTTGTAAAATTAAGGGGGAAAGACAAGAAGTAAATATATTTGTATGCTGTTCATTGATAACAAAATATTTACATATATTTTTATTTCATGATATGATTATTTATTACTTCCCCCTTTTTTCTGGTGTTGCTAAACCATTCTTTTCAGTAATGTACTGCTTTATGAAAAGATAAACTCAAAAAACCCTTGGGACCCTTCTTATTGAGATTAAGCCCATAAAGGTGGACCCTTGACTTATGAACTCAAATCGTTTACAAACTCAAGTTGGTTGTAGGTCGAAACTATTTTCCCATAATAGCTGTTTTCCCATTTTTATACCCATAATGCATTCCAAACCTCCCAAAGCACCCATTAAATAACCTTTTCATAATAAAAAAGGGCTCTATAATGTAAGTAATTTACCAGAAACACTAATAATTTTCCTAGTGTATTCATCAAAAAGTTATAAAATGTGCTTGGTATACCAGAACAATTTCATACTGTACTCACCATACAAGTTGACATCTTTGGTTTGCAGGAAGGGAATATAAAATGAAAGGCAGTTATTGTTTGGAAGGAGAGTCCCCTTCTATAAGAACATCAGAAACCTAACTCTCTGGTGTCTTTTCTTTATTTTGGAGAGTCTGTAGCCCACTAAGACCTGCTTCTGGCTCACTAGGTCTCAACCTTTTCAGAACTAAAAACTGGACTAAGATTGTCTGTTTCTGTCTTTTCTTTAACATTGTTCTGTAGTATGATGTGACATCATTAAGCAAGTGAAGGCAGTGATTGGCCTTTCCTCTGTCTGGCTAGGTCTTGTAACTCTGTCCATTTTTTCAAGATTCCTTTATTTCAGAAGAACTTTGCTGCACTGATTGTTCACACTCTACCTCCTCTTCAGAAAGCTCCTTAGCTGCTCAGCCAGAAGTCGCTGAAATTCTCTGTAGACATTTCTCCTGATTATTCCTCTCCCAGTTCCTCAACATCACCACCATCTACCTGCAAGCCTAGGGCCTCTGCTATGGTGACAGTGTCGTCAGGGTCAGCTGAAGGCTCAGGCTCCGCTACACAGCCTTCAAAGTCTCTCTTCTGTATAATTTTGGGTCACACTTTCTTCCGGGAAGATCTCAGTGTCCTTGGAGAGACATTGGCCCAAGATATCTCAACCCCACATGGAAGCATGTTGTAATGTTCCTACCAGAACTCTGTGAGAGTAAGGTCTGTATCGAGACCATCTGGAAACTCTTCAGCTATCTTTGGAGTATAGCTTCTTAGAGTTAGTTATAACCTGCTTGTCCATAGGCTGAAAGTAGAGGAATTGTATTAGGTGCGAGGAATTCAAATAGAGTGATGGGAATCTAATCTTTAGCCAGTTCTTTTCTTTTGTTTTTTTTTTTTGAGACAGGGTCTCACTGTGTAGTTGAGACTGACCTGGAACTCACTATGTAGCCCAGGCTAGTCTCGAACTCACAGCGATCCTCCTGCCTCAGCCTCCCGAGTGCTGGGATTACAGGTGTACGCCACCACACCCGGCTTCAGCCAGTCCTTTTTCCAAATCTGTACATATAAGCTGAACATATATATACTGTAAATATAAGCAAGATCAGTCACACAAATGCCATTCTCATATTTTTCCTCAATTTCTTCCTCCTCTTTGATTGTGATTGCTTTCTTTAGCTTTTCTAGCTTTTGGGGGGACATTTTGACAGAAGTAATCATAGTGATTATGTAAAGCACTGACCGAAATCACATGCATAGACATGCGCATCTGGGCTCAGACTGACACGTATGCTTACATATGCTTTTCTGGCATCCAGAGTCTTTATTTATAACCACACAAGCTGCCGGCATTCGGGCCATAACCCAAGTTGTTAGTATGTGAAGCCAGTCGTAACTCAAGGGTCCACTATATTTTATTATCTCATCTGAGAATTGTACATTAAAAGTTTTAATATATTAAATAAATTAATTGTACATTAAATGTATTCATCCATGCACACACTCAAATGCAAAGAAAACTTTCTCCTTGAGTATTGGTCCACTTTCCTTGAGTATTATTGGTTCCACATTATTTTTGTTTCTAAAGCAAACTCAAAACTCAATGTATTTTCTATTTTAGGGTTTTTTTTAATAAAATAAAATTTTAAGACATTTGCAAAATTACTGATCTCTCCATGTCCTGCAAGTCTTTTGCAATTGCTTTGTCTGTTTTAAACCAGTTTTTATTAGCTCTTTCTAGAGTATTCC